ACTTTTTAGGAAACTCCTCAATATGTTTACGAACATACATCAAATTTTCAAAAATGTACTGGGATGGCATAGTGAGAACTTTAATTTCTTTAAATTTCTCCCTCAGGGATTCCCTTGAGTGCATGTTATAAATAGCACGTATAGCTCTTTTCTGCAGAATAAATATCATTTCTACATCGGCCGCATTGCCCCATAGCAAAAGGCCATAGGACATGACACTGTGGAAGTAACTAAAGTAAACTAAACGAGCCGTGTCCGCGTTTGTTAACATTCTAATTTTTTTTACTGCGTATGCTGCAGAGCTGAGCTTATTCGCCAATTTATGAATATGAGGTCCCCATTGCAGTTTGGAGTCCACTGTTATACCAAGAAATACGGTTGACTCAACAAGCTCCAATGATTCCTCAGAAACAATTACATCACTATCCACTTGTCTCACATTTAAAGATGGTTTAATACATTTTAAAGTAAATTTAATACATTTAGTTTTCCTACTATTCAATAATAGGTTATTGATACGGAACCAATGAACCACACACGAAATCGCATCACTCACTTCGTCATAGACTTGTAATTGTCGTTTAATTTTAAATAATAAAGATGTATCATCTCCGAATAATACGACCTCGTGTCGGGACTCAATAAAACTAGGTAAATCGTTTATATATATTAGAAATAAAAAATGACCCAAAATGGAACCCTGAGGTACACCCATTTTCAACAAGGTGCCTGAAGATCTATTACCTTTCACATCTACTGTTTGTATCCTTCCTGATAAATAGGAAGTAATAAGTTCCAATGCACCATCCCTAATACCATAGTGATGTAGTTTCCTCACCAATGTTTCATGTTCAACACAGTCAAATGCTTTGGACAAGTCAATGAAGCAGGTTATTTGAATTAAAAAAAGCGTGGGATGCTTTTCAGGTTCTTTATTATCAAAATAACCCTTCTACTCATATTATTATCTGTTCATAAAATATTGCAATATGCTAATACCATGCACCCCACGCTTTTTTGCAATAAAATAATTTTTCCTTACATTATTTTTAATTCAAATTTATTAAAATTTATTTCCAACTTTTTAGTTGGATTTTCTATAAAAGCGTATTTTGTTAGTTTTTTTTAAACTATTATTTATTTTTCATTTTTTTAGTTCAGTTTCAATTTTTTTCATTTATTTTTTTAATATTAAATTGTCGTCGGTCCTTAATAAGTATACCAAATTTCGAGTTAATCCGACGTTTTGAAGGGTGTCAAAATCATGTTCAAAGATTCCGTTACAAACATACATACATACGTCTAATAAAAGCGTATTAAAAATGTCGTAAGCGAGATTCAGGCATCTGTCAAATATCTTACGTTGTAAGAAGCCTTTTTTTTTTTTTTTTTCGGGCCGGGGGCCGATCCTCCTACGAGATCCGCGCTTACGGGGCGCGCGGGGTATGTGAGACTCAACGATCTGCAGGTGTTGAGAGCAGATCGCGGGNGTTGCTTCGAATATTACTGTTCAGAACTTGTATACATACATGCAAACCTATGTTGAAAGTGACGGTAGCGAGAATCATGGAATCTGTTGAATTTTTTGTGTTACGTGATACCAGCTACACATAGTTTTATCTAGTTCATTTTTGCATATTTGTTACCAAAAATATGAAGAAAGGAAAAACAATTAACAGTTTGGTTATAAGTAGCAAAAACGATTTCTTTTTTGATGAAGAGGTATACGGTGAGATAGTATTGTCGGGAGCCACCGTTCCGGATATTACTGCCGCGAAGGAGTCATCCGGTTCGAAGAAGGGGACAACCGCTATAATACAATACCGTTGAGACTCCAACCTCAAGGCGGAGTAACTGTGGCCTCTCGATCTCTATGACCTTCGGTAACCACTTTACACTAAGTGAGCTATGAGCTCGAACAAGCAATAAGTTAAACAGCTTGAGGCCTGTAGCTAAACAACTTTAAGCTCTTCTTTATATTAGTTCTTCCAAGATGTCGTAGATATAAACATATCTGTAAAGGTTTTAACAAATCAAAGAGCGGACGGTTAGCGTGGTGTGGACATGTGATGCGTAGAGAGGAGACGCATGTGACTAGGAGATGTATGGAAATGGTAGTGCAAGGTAGAGGGGGAGAAGGTCGCCGGGAGAAGACATGGATGGAGTGTGTGAATAACGATAGGAGAGAGAGAGGAGTGAGTGTTGAGCTGACGACTGATAGAAGAGAATGGATGAGAAAAATTAGCTGTGCCGACCCCACCTAGTGGGAAAAAGTGGAAAAAAGAAGAAGAAGAAGATAAACAAAGATTCAATTAGAAATACCTGGCGATTGTTTCTTCTTGCCTAATTTCTTTGAGAAAAGAGAATGTTTAGATTTTGATGAGCTTCCTGGTGATGAAGAGGAGGGGCCACCTTCTAAAGACTGATCGGGGCTGTCGGTACTGCTCTCAGGTTCATTTCCACCGTTGTCTGTGGTTTCCGCATTAAGAGAACGAAGAAAAAAGAGAAAGAATATCATTAGTTGAGTTAAACTTTTTTTTATTGCCTTTGTGGGCAGACGAGCTCACTGTTGGCAACTCCAACATTTTAGTATGGAAAATAAAATTATATGACTGGCAACATTGTTGATGTCATTCTCTTCCTTTTTTATAATTTTCACCGCAAGCGGACGTGTTTATCATATTAATAAAATATCAAGTGCATAAACATACAAATAAACCGTATTGCAGCAAAAAGCACAAGTTCTTTTTATCACAGCAACCGGTTCGACGCCTTCAGCTCTAGGAGCAGGCTTAGGGACCTCGGTAACCGTACTCGTCGAACTCGACAAAGAGTTCGCCGTGCAACCTAACCCATGAATCAGCTCGCTGAGTTTCTCGCCGGATCTTCTCAGCGGGTCGTGATTCCGATCCGGTAGTAGATTCATTCGCAAAGCAGCTACTATTGAGTTGTTAGGTCTCCTTCGGAGGCGCTCGGATAGCTGTTAGCAAATCCCACCCCTCCTGGCTGAGCCTTTGCTCGCCCACCTGTCCTGGTGAAACTGGAAAGGCCTCCGGGCCACCAGTAATTCTTCAATCATAAAAAAAAATAAAAAAAGCAACCGGCCCACACAGCCCGCACCAAAACACATACAACCCACCTGATGGAAAGTGTTCACCGTCGCTCATGGACATCGGCAATGCCAGGGGCAGAGCCAAGCCGCTGTAATTTAGCCATAGTAGCTTTTTCTTCGGTTTTTGCGAATCATTGATATGCTTGTAGTAAGCGTATTCAACATCAAGTTGTGATCGAACTTTGTGAGTATTTTTTTTATGAAGGAAACATTACTGGTGGCCCGAAGGCCTTTCCGATTTCACCACGACAGATGGGCGAGTAAAAGGCCCAGCGAGGAGGGGTGGGATTTGATAATAGCTGCTCGAGCGCCTCCGAAGGAGACCTAACAGTTCAAGGTCAGCTGCTTCGGGAATGCATCTACCACCGGATCGGAATCGCGACCCACTCAGAAGATCCGGCGAAAACCTCAGTGGGCTGCGTCTATGGTTAATTCTCACGACGAACCCTTCGTCGCAAGCGACGGGTTCGACGAGAACGTAGACCGGTGCTTGGAATTCCTAAAAGTTCTTGTTCAGAACTTCTTCCTAAGCAAGCTTATTTGTTCTAGTAAGTATCTATCTAGTGTTTTATCTATTACATATTCGTTACCAAAAATATGGAGAAAGGAAGGATAATTAAGAGTTTGGTGGTAAGTAACTATACTTGAGACCTTAGAACTTATATCTCAACGTGGGTGGCGCATTTACGTTGTAGATGTATATGGATTCCTGTAACCACCTAACACCAGGTGGGCTGTGAGCTCGTCCACTATTTTTAATTCAAATTTATTAAGATTTATTTTCTATTTTTTAGTTGGATTTTCTATAAATGCGTATTTTGTTAGTTTTTTTAAACTATTATTTATTTTTATTTTTTAGTTGAATTTCAATTTTTTCAATATTTTTTTTCAAATTTGTTTTATAATATTGAATTGTCGTCGGTTCTTAATAAGTATACCAAATTTCGAGTTAATCCGGGGTTAAATCATGTTCAAATATTCCGTTACAAACATATATACATACGTCTGAAGCTAATAAAAGCTTATTAAAAAGAAAAAGAAGAAGATAAACAAAGATTCAATTAGAAATACCTGGCGATTGTTTCTTCTTGCCTAATTTCTTTGAGAAATGAGAATGTTTAGATTTTGATGGGCTTCCTGGTGAGGAAGAGGACGGGCCACCTTCTGAAGACTGATCGGGGCTGTCGGTACTGCTCTCAGGTTCATTTCCAGCGTCGTCTGTGGCTAATGCGTAAATAGAATATCATTAGTGCAGTTAAGGAATTAACTTAGATATAGCTTCTTTGATTTTCGTGAATCTTAACTAACTAGTGGTCCCGCAGTAGTCGAAATTCGACTATAATTAACTGAAATTTTCTTTATAAACATTATTATGGTTCGATTGTCAAACACTATTAGAATTTTTTTAAATATAATCACATATTTCTCCAAAACTATACTATAGATAAATATTATTAAAGACAAACAATATTATTTTATTCTCAATAAGATCAGACTTTCAAAAATAACAAAACTTTGACAATAAACGCAGAGTAGTTATATATATGTGTGTATATGTGTTGTGTCAAATACATGATAGTGTGTGTAATGTTTTCTTTATTGATTTAATGAATTTTTAATGCATAATTTAAAAAAATTATTAACATTCTGCACTCCTCTATAAAAAAGTGTGGGAAATTTCACCCCTCCGTCCGCGCAATTTCCGTAAAAAGGGGCACAATGTATCGCGAATTAATATACCTATAGATATTATAAAGCGGAAGAGTTTGTTTGTTTGAACGCGCTAATCTCAGGAAATACTGGTTCGATTTGAAAAATTCTTTCAGTGTTACAAGACCAAAGTCTAACTTCGAACGTAAAATTCCAAAAAAACTATAAACAAACAGTTTTATTCTACATATTTAATATTAACTAGTGGTCCCTGTGTAGTCGAAATTCGACTATAATTAATTGAAATTATAAGTTTGAACATTATTATGGTTCTATTTGTCATATTATACTTCTATACCGTACTCACAGATTACGCCAAGACACTATAGACAAAATTAAATGATGATATAGACAAACAACATTAATCTATTCTCAATTTGACCACAAAGTTTCAACAATGACAAAAGTTTGACAATAAACACTGAGTATACGTGTGCGTATATGTGTTGACTCAAATACATGGTAGTGTGTGTAATGTTTTCTTTATTGATTAAATGTATCTTTTATGTATTATTTAAAAAAAAAATTAGCATTGTGCACTTCTTCTCTGTATTATCTATAAGTGTGAAAAGTTTCATACTCTTGCGACCGCGCAATATTCGTAAAAAGGGATATAAAGTTTTTGCTTCACGTATTAATATATAGATTAACCCATGATTTGATCTGAGTATTTTAAATAACTGAAATGAGTCAGGAGGGTTTGTTTAATAACATTATTGCGATAGTTTGCTTGCTTACCTTTAGCGGAGAGGATGTGAACCTGAAAAACAACCAATGTGTCCGTTTCAGGAATCTCATGCAAGTGATATTGATTACAGGGCGCGTTGGAGACGTCTTTTTAACCCACAGACACAGCCCACTGAGTTTCTCTACGGATCTTCTCAGTGGGTCGCGTATCCGATCCGGCGGTAGATTCTGCGAAGCACGGCTCTTGCTAGGGTTCGTGTTAGCAACGTCGTCGGGTTTGAACCCCGTGAGCTCACCTACTAGTTAAGGTTACGCTGATATAGCCTCTCAAGGCTCTCAGCTTAGGTAAGAAAAAAAAAGACGTCTTCCCGGACTAAAGTTTTTGTTTCGTTCATAACTAAACACTTCTTTTTTTCCTCCACCGTATCCCACTAGGTGGGGTCGGTACAGCGAATTTTTTTATTCCATTCTCTTCGGTCAGCCGTCATCTCAACACTCACTCCTCCCATTCTCAAATCATCATTCACACACTCCATCTATGTCTTCTTCGGTCGACCTCTTCCCCCTCTACCTTGCACTACCATTTCCATACATCTCCTACTCACATGCATCTTCTTTCTCGCCCGGAGAATCTAGAATAACTTCTCGAGGTTACAAGAATAGGTAGGAAAAAAGAATGAAATGAATACTGTTGTTAGTTTACTTGATAGACCGTATTGTAAAAAGACCTAGGGGTAGAGGTCCCAAACGATGGTCGAACCAAATAGCGGAGGACCTGAAAATACCTGTCAGCGACGGACTCTACCAAGCTACAGAACGGGATCGATGGAGACAGCTGGTTGATGGAATCGGACGGAGTCATGATCCTCAGCAGTGAGGGACCGATTGAAGAGAGAGAGAGAGAGAGAGAGAGATTGTTACACATTGTGAGCCCACACGGGTAGGTATCACCGTCTTACTTATTTCTGCTGCTAAGCAGAACGTTTCGGGTTGAACGTGCCTCAAAGTGTTCCAGGAGTGCGACCACTTAGCACCAGGTGGACTATGACCTTGTTTACCAGTTCACGTGAGATCTAAATAAAAAAAACATCGTAATCCCAATTCGACCATCGAAATCTAATAACAATACTTACGCTTAAAGCAATGAACAAAAAGAATAACAGTTTTTTATCCATTTGTAAATTGAGAGGTCTCTGTAACAAAATCATTGATTAGATCGTATTCTTTGTAAAGATAATGATTATTGGATTACCGGTCATTGTAAAATACATGCAATATTTTTGTTAAACAATGTCATTTTACAGAATCCACGATGATAATTCGATGGTTAAAACCAGCGACATTTCGCTGCGACATTTATCTTTCAAATTGAAATTCAATTAACTCGATTTGAATAGCTGGAGAAGCTGGAGAAGCCACTGCGGTCATCAACAGTGCGTTTCCAGAGGTCTTTTTTGCCACGTACCATCCGGCTATCGAATGAGCTCCCCTCCACGGTGTTTCTCGAGCGCTATGACATGTCCTTCTTTAAAAGAGGCTTGTGGAGAGTATTAAGCGGTAGGCAGCGGCTTGGCTCTGCCCCTGGCATTGCTGAAGTCCATGGGCGACGGTAACCACTCACCATCAGGTGGGCCGTATGCACGTCTGCCTACAAGGGCAATAAAAAAAAAGAAGAAGTTTTTTTGTTATGATATTTTTTCCAAATTTTAAACTTCAAATGGCTCTTCTATAATGTTTCAAAAATATCGCTCAAACCAATTAATAGCCCCCCTCGATATAATCTTGTGTTAACATTTACGTACTGACAGACGACTTGTAATTATAATATGCACCCAACGAATATATCTTTTATCACCGGTCAATACTTAAATTCACATGTCATGTTACTTTGTTTTCGATTTTAATAATTATAATATAATTATAAGATATAATTATAAGATAATTTTAAATATGATTGTGGGTATTACTGGTTGGTGGCAAGGAGGCCTTTCCAGTTTCATAAGGACAGGTGGGCGAGCAAGGGCTTAGCCAGAAGGGCGGGATTTGCTAACAGCTACCCGAGCGCCTCCAAGGGAGACCTAACAACTCAAGAGTAGCTGCTTCGCGAATGAATCTACTACCGGATCGGATTCGCGACCCGCTGAGAAGATCCAGCGAGAAACTCAGCAGGCTGATGCTTAGGTTAGATTGCATTTCGAACTCTTTGTCGAGTTCGACGAGTACGGTTACCGGGGTCCCTAAGCCTGCTCCTAGTATTAGAGCTGAAGGCGTCTAACGCAAGGGTTATTGGATCTGATGGAGCGGTAAGGACGTGTGTAGGGCGACGACGGTGACTGACTCCTGCGTGATCAGGTTATTTTCGATACAGCGTGAAACTTTTGTGGGTGCAATGACGAAAAGAAAATCATCCCCTGAGCTGGTGTGATTGCTCGTTAGCCCGACGCTCCGAGTGTTGTTCGGAACTTGTATATGTGCAAGCTTATCTTAATCACTATCACTACATCACTACATAGTATAAAACAAAGTCGCTTTCTCTGTCCCTATATTCCTATGTATGCTTAAATCTTTAAAACTACGCAACGGATTTCGATGTGGTTTTTTTTAATAGATCGAGTGATAGAAGAGGAAGGTTTGTATGTATAATAACGTCCATTAAATAGTGGAGAAATCAATAATAAATTACAGTTTCCGAAGCGAAGCGAGGGCGGGTCGCTATAAATAATAGTTTAAAAAAAAAAAAAAAAAACGCTTTTATAGAAAATTCAACTAAAAAATAGAAAATAAATGTTAATAAATTAGAATTACACATAGTCTAAGAAAAAATGATTTTATTGTAAAAAAAGCGTGGGGTGCTTTTTAGGATATTATCAAAATAACCATTCTACTCATATTATCTGTTCATAAAATATTTATAACTACTGATACTTTTTTTTTACAATAAAATATTTTTTTCTTACACTATTTTTAATTCAAATTAATTAAAATTTATTTTCTATTTTTTAGTTGGATTTTCTATAGTTTTTTTAAACTATTATTTATTTTTCATTTTTTAGTTGAATTTCAATTTTTTCAATTGTTTTTTTAATATTGAATTGTCATCGATCCTTAATAAGTATACCAAATTTCGAGTTAATCCGACGTTTTGAAGGGGGTCAAAATCATGTTCAAAGATTCCGTTACATACATACATACCTACGTCAAATAAAAGCGTACGGTATTAAAATGTCGTAAGCGAGATTCAGGCATCTGTCAAATATCTTGCGTTGTACGACGCCTACCCTCTTATTGTCGGTTAATAAGCAGCTAGTTCCATGTTAGCTCCATATTTGCGTCATTAAATAACAAACTAATACTTGAGGCCTATAAAATCAAAGGCAGCTAAACGCCATAATGTCGTTAAATGGATTAACAATGGCGCTGTCTTGTTTAGTTAGTTGGACACGCTTTAGTGTTTTCATGTTATAACAAATGCAGCTAAATCTCTAACAAATTCAGTTCAAAAAATTTATTTTTACTCAGTACTAAGTACTAATAAACGAAGTTTTATCATTTAAAAATTAAGATTATTAGTAATATTCTCATTCTTTATGAATCTGCTTCAAAATAAAGAATATCGTAGATATCCGAACAAAGTTATTTCAGCTTCTCAAACCGGGAGTGTTGCTAACACTGGCCCTAGCAAGCGCAGTACTTCAATGGATCGGGGGGATCTGTAATGACGTGTTTAGGGCCGATTTTTGTAGTTTACCTGAATATTTGACAGACTTGGATTTAGCGTACTTAACAAATGTTCACGATTGACTTCCACGGTGAAGGAATAACATCGTGTAATAAAAATCAAACCCGCAAAATTATAATTTGCGTATTTACTGGTGGCAGGACCTCTTGTGAGTCCGCGCGGGTAGGTACCACCGCCCTGCCTATTTCTGCCGTGAAGCATTAATGCGTTTCGGTTTGTAGAGTGGGGTAGCCGTTGTGACAATACTTGAGACCTTCGAACTTATATCTCAAGGTGTGTGGCGCATTTACGTTATAGATGTCTATGGGCTCCAGTAACCACTTAACACCAGGTGGGCTGTGAGCTCGTCCACACATCTAAGCAATAAAAAAGCTGCCTTTGATTTTATAGGCCTCACTTGTGAAATTAAAACAAAATAATATTAAATGTACCTGCAATGAACTATCCTATGAATATAGAGCCAGCCACTATTAATGTCGATCTTAATTCACTTTAGGTTAAAAAGTTTAAAGTTTTATAGCGTTTTTAAAGGAATTTTTACGATGTCATTAATTAAACTATTCACCGATTAACGTAAAAGCGAATGCTGTAACTGTTCTAGTTTTAAAATGAAATGTATATACAGTGTGTTGTTTTTTAAGTCACCAACTTTTTACAAGCAACGCTGCTTATAAATAGAAAATCTGCGTTAGCTCACCGCCGGTTGGCAGAGTTCCCAGAAGGCTGGCAGCATTTCCACGCTGGATAGTAATGCTAATTCTTTGTGCAAAATACGTACCGGCCTTCTGGTCTCCCGAGGCCTCAAAAAGTTTTTTTTAAGGTCCAAAAGTTTCCACCCCAAACGGAACAAATATGAAATCTTTAGAGAGATTTTCATATTTCCGTCGTTTGAGGCCTTCAGCCGTTGAAGCAGCGCTGCCAGCGTTAAAATTAGTCCCAGGAAGATGTGTCGGTGCCATGGTATCTACACAATACAATACAAGCAACTATATTTTTTTATTATTTAGTATCTACACAATACAATACAATACAAGCAACTATAATTTTTTATTATTTAAAACTAGGTTTTGCCAGCGACTTCGTCCGCGTAGAATAATTACTTTGGAATAATACTAAATTTTACCCGTGACTTCATTTATGCAGAAGCTGAAAATATTTTTGAATAATAGAATGTTAAGGTATGCTATTTAAGGTTTTTTTTATTGCTTAGATGAGTGGACGAGCTCACAGCCCACCTGATGTTAAGTGGTTACTGGAGCCCATAGACATCTACAACATAAATGCGCCACCCACCTTGAGATATAAGTTCTAAGGTCTCAAGTATAGTTACAACGGCTGCCCCACCCTTCAAACCGAAACGCATTACTGCTTCACGACAGATATAGGCAGGGGGGTGGTACCTACCCGTGCAGACTCACAAGAGGTCCTACCACCAGTAAGGTACCAAAAATCACGCTTTTTTAACCGACTTCAAAACAGGAGGTTGTCAATTCGACCATTTTTTTTATCTATGTATGTTCAACGATTTCTCGAGAATGCTTGAACCGATTCTTATAATTATTTTTTTTTTTTCGAAATGGTAGACTTTATTGGTGCTCCGCTTGTATTGGTCTTAGCGTGATGTTATATAGCCGATAGCCTTCCTCAACAAATAGACTTTCTAACACTGAAATCGGACAAACAATATCTGAGATTAGTGCGCTCAAACAAACAAACAAGCTCTTCAGCTTTATAATATTAGTATAGACTATATAAACCTTAATTTTTTATTGTATAGTTGGGTGGACGAGCTCACCGCCCACCTGTTGTTAAGTGGTTACCGGAGTCCATAGACATCTACGACGTAGATGCGCCACCCACCTCGAGATATAA